ACAGAAAAACCACTGCTGGGTTATCTAGTTTTATGAAGATAAACTAATATTTAACTTTTTTCCCCCCCTACTGAACAATTTTGATTTAGCAAGACATGCCACTACAACACATCTAATAGAAGAGCTAGCTGGGGCCACCCAGCTGCTACCTTGCAGAAATTGTTGGTGAATCACAGAGTGGTTGAGGTTAGAAGGGGCCTCCGGAGGTCATCTGGTCCAGCCAACCCCCCTGATTTCAGATGAGAATAAATTACATGTAAATATTTTTTTCCTTTTTTAAGCTCATATATTAAAGACTAGAAGGATATTTTAATGAAAGCTGAGAGCAGATATCACCATATGACTCCAAAAACTTGATGTATATATTAATCCAAAAGCCTTTAGCATGTAAAACCGAGCACTTCATTTATACCACCAGAAATTACTATAAAATGTAGGTCACTGAATTTTACATCTTCCTAGTCAGAACCTAAGCTTTTAGGAAACTTTCTATTAGAAGTCTCTTCACAATAAAAAAAAAAAAATAAAAAAAAAAAAAAGAGCCATAAATCAAGCTTGCATTAGAAACAAAATGATAAATACTGTAGTTGTCATACAGTCTACACAAAAATAGCAACTTCAATGAGAAGAAATCATTGTCACTAAAATTTAAAAAAGCAGCTTGATGGTATGACTTAATTCCAAATAGATGCAAATGTAAATGTTTAACTGACAGATAAAGGACATTTTACTCCAGCAAAACCATTCTTTGTGTGGAATTAGTTACTAATTTGATGATAAGAGAAGTAAAATTAATCTTTTTTTCTTCTTTGATCACATCAAAGGAGCCAACAGTTTAAAGTCCATGATACTTTCTGCTGACATTTTTATGCAGGAGAGCTGGGAGCTTACATATTTATATTTATCTATTAGTCTCATCAGTGCTAAGAAGGATTTTATAGTCTTAACGGGGCACATGTTATTGCCTGAGTCTTCTCTAAAGCTTTAATTTTTTTTTCTTCTTTCTCTGGAATCTCCTTGGTCCAAGAGACTTTGTAGTTTAAAGCAAGATATTATCAGTTGCTATTAAAATCTTTTTTATGATTCAATGAAATTTGTTTTACAGATCCACAATTTAGTCTACCAAATTTGGCTTCAGATTTCTGATTTCTGGTGATTTCTTTCCACATAACTGACATGACAGATGGCAAAAGTAGTAACAGTAAGGTTCATAAAATGATGAGGCTTTCCAAGATTCACACATTTAGGAGCAACACAAATACTTGATACTGTTACATTTACTTGGAGGACATAAAAGTTTTCTAAGAAAAGTCAACTGGTAAGTGTTTAATTTCTATACAGATCTCTTAATGGCCTGTAACTGCACAAGCCTCAGATCTTCACCCTTCTAGCAGCATCATGAATGCTTGCTCAAGGTGAAAGCAAGAAAACCTTGAAGTTTAATATTAGGAAAGGTAACGCTGTTGTGTGTTCTATAATGTGTAGCCAGCGTTCCGGGCACACGAAATTGAGACAACCATCCCTGAGGGGTAAACAAAATGTCGGATTTCTCTGCTGAAGTTTATTCTTGTAGAGAAGGAGTGACTGGGAAACCCAAGCAGATGAAAGTTCTTCCTTCAACACGGAAAAAGAGCTAGATGCTTTGTAACTGCAGTCCTAGAAAGAGGCCGTGCAGAGCCTACGCCAAATTACCCATTTCAGAAAGAGTCCTATGACAGCACAATTAAAGCAATTAGAGAATTGGTCAACCCCCAATCAACTCCTAATATGAGGAACTATGTAAGAGGAAGCAGCCAATTTTTTGAATAATTTATAAGCAAACATTTTTCATAAATGCTTTCCTTATTAAATCTAATCGCAGCTTCCTTCCAGTTCAGATTTTCAGTTTTATGGTTCCAAAATGATTTAAAAGACTTAAGGCTTATTTTATAAGACAATTTTAAGAAAAGAAAGCCTCTCAATGAGGTGCTGCAAGAAACGTTAAGAAAAAAAGATTTATCACCGCCATAAGCAATCAAAACCTTAAGGTCAGGCTGACCCTTCCCACGCAAATCAGCGGTAGAGCAAGTAAATAGAGATGTCAGAAAGAATGTTTAAGGAAAAGCACTCTCTTTTTTCTTCTATCTCCTCTCATCATCTTGAAGCATAAGACATAAAATGTGAGATTTAGAGATTACTCCAAGTAATAGCTCACAGCCTCAAAGGCAAATATTCCCTGCTTGAATGTTACTGAATGTATGTAGGGTGAGATCAGCAGAACTCCTTATACTATTGCATCAAGACAGTAAAAGAAGAAAAAAAAAAAAGCAAACTGAAAAAACCCCAACAAAAACCTCACCACCCCAGCCAAACACCCAAGAGTCAAAACCAAACCAGATTTAATGGCATTTTTAGTTCTTTTATGTTCCTGTTTATTGGCAAAAGGGGTAAGGTATTCTTCTATAAAAGACACATCAATTACCTTGTTTAACAAAACATACTACACTACATCATGGTGTATTTCCCTCTTATTTATCTCACAAGCTGTTGAAAGTAAACACTTCTGGAATATCTTCATGATTTTGGCACTTTAATATCGTTAAAAATACAGTTTTTGAAAAATGGCAAGTAGGTTAATAAATCAGAATACTTCTGAAATTCAGTCTAATTATTTTTGTCTAATATTTATTCACTACTTTTATTTATTACATAACACTGCTTTTTAATAAATATCTTCATTATATTAATTTTAAAGCTCTTCTTACAGTTTTCTTCACTCCAGTAGTTTCTTCTCTGGCTACATCTTAATTATAGCCACCAACGAGGACATTTTATAGCTAAGGATATATCTCTCTACTCCAGAACAGATGCTATTCAGTTGCAACACCCATTCAGTATTGGCATTATTACACATACATGCATATTACTTGTCTTACAGTCAATATGGGCAAGTTCAACAACTTGTGATGTCATTGTCAGCCATTTTCCTACAGATTCGCTACCTCACTAGAAACTCAGTGCCTCAGGATATGCAGCTGACAAGTGCATGCTCATTTCCACAGAGACTGGTTGAAGTGGAACTAGAGAGTCTGCAACCCAAATTCCAAGGACTAATGAGGTGCCATCTGTCACACACATTTCTGAAAGGGCAGAGAAAGTCCACCTTCATCTGACGCTGAATTGCCTCCACGTGTTTCACAAAGAAAGCAGTAAAATTATTTCTTTGCTTTACAAAAATATTCAACTAAAATGCATGCTTTGAATGTTCAATTGTTCTAATTTATATTCCAGTTATACGAGCACCATTAAAAATATGATATTTAGAAATACTTTCCCGTTAGCATGCTTAAGAGTACTGATGGTAGCTAGCTAGAAATCTGCAGAAACACCCAGAGCTATTGAAGATGAAGTGCACATCCTAGCATATTTGCTAATAAAATACATCCATGCCATAAGCTAGTGACTGCATTTCTCCCCGGCAAAACATCTAAAAGCTCAGTAATGAATTGGTTCAGGGTTTTTTTTGTAAACTTACTCTTACTTCACAAGGTATTTCAAAACACCACCCAAGAAGAAGAAATTTCTGAATTTTCTATATTCAGGAATTATTTCTGTAGAACTTTATAGGACTACTCATCATTTCCTACTTTGCCCTCTCTCTAGAACTCTGTGACCATAAAGAGTACTTTACAGAGCCTATAGAAGTTTGTCTTGACTAGACAAAAGAGGATTTTTTTTTTCCTAGAGATGCATCAACTAGCGTGTTGTAACTAATACATTCTACAGCCCCATCATGACACCAAGCATTGTGCTTATACAACTTTCTTCTGAGCGATCTGAATTTATGTTAAAGTACTGTTCTGTCTGACCACATCTCATCGGAGAACAGTTTTTCAAAAACTTCTTTTATCACTGATAGAAATACTGTAATATTTTGTGAAATAATTTGGATTTGCAAAAATGTTAGTGTATTTTGTCCAGAAGGAGAGGGTGGCTGGTCCAAGCAGAGAAGATGGCAGAAAAGTTACACAAAGCTGAAAGTAGCAAGTCACAAAGGTGCTATGTAGGAAAGAAGTGATGGAAGTCTAGGAGATGAAGTACAAAAGAAAATAGCAATAGAAAAGTGATGAGACAGAGTTATCCAAATATCAGGAATAAAAGGACAAGACATTTGAAGACAAAAAGCTGGGGGAGAAAGTGGGAGAGAGAGTGTTACAGAGACTGTGCTGTTAAAGGGCAAAATATCAAAGTTGTACATTTTTATTAGCACTATTTTAAAAACAGGGGTTATGGAAAGAGACAGGGTGATGAAGCTACAGAGTTGAAGACAGAGAGGTAATGATTAGGAATGAAGCTGAAAAAGGATGCAGTTCAATTGAAACTGATTCTTCTAGACATATCCAGTCTTTATTTCAATTTATTGATTTAAAGTTCATGTCATAAAAACCAGGCAGATAATTTGCTATTATTTCAGCTTTTGAACTGTTTTCAATAGGTTTGTTGTCTTGAAGTCCATTGTTTAGCTTGCATGTGACAAGAATTAGAATTTTCTAATCCACATATGTTTATGGGTGAGAAATAAATACATGCGCTCAGTAGGAGTGCCAAAGGAAAAAGACCAAAAAACCTTTACTCTGTAAAATGTTTCTTGTCTAACAAGTGACATATTCAAATAAGCACCTTTGAACTTTTTCCCTCACACAGTACCTCGTGCTTAGGGAAATCTCTCCAGAAATGACTGCAAAATATTACTCTCTTCTTGAGCATGGTTTAACATCAGTTTGCTCTGACTTCTGCTTCCTCTTATGTTAAGCAATATGATTGCATTAGATTCTAGTGCCCCCTCCTCAACCAGCTTATTGCCTCTGCCTATAAAATGGATAAATTCCCGTGGTCAGTGTGCCACCTACCATAACAGGGTCTTTGCTCAAGCAAGGAGAACAAATTAAACTTCAGAAACATGAGTTTTAAAACACTGGAAATCCATCTATAAACACAAAGTATGGACGTGTAACACATTCTTACCTATGCAGCTGTAAATACTCTCTGGGTCTGTTTAAAAGGTGAAGGAATCTGTCAACAATCTTGTTTTTCCCAACACCCTGCAGTAAATAAATATAACATTAAGACATAATATAGATGTACACATTTAAAAGTTATAAACAAAGAAAAGATAGCTTCCCAAAATTGTTAAAATAGTCTCCATATTCCTTTATAGGAAAGTACAATTTCGATCCACATCAAAGAATTCTGAACACAATTTAATGATATCTATTTTATTTTACATATGTATATATATTTGCAAAATACTTACCTGTCTTACTAGGCATAACCAGAAATAGGATTTGTTCTCTAGAGTTATGTCACGCATGCCTATGCATGCCTTTAAGTAACCCCAGGTTTTTCCAGCCCTTTTATTTCACAAAGGAGTTGTGAGGCTGTGGATGCGAGGAAGTTGACTTGCACTAATTATGAAAAGATAGTTCTTGTTGGTCATAGGAAACATCCTGTAACTGTCACCTGGAATTAGAGCATTGCCTTGGTAATATTCGCTAATCCCATTCCACTGGAGTTAGCAAAAAAGGCCCAGACGGACTCAGAACTGGGTTGAAGATTAAACTAATCTATAACTCTCTATTGCAGGATGTCTGCATTAGCAAGCTGTGCAGAATGATGACAGCAAATTTACAGAGTGAATCAGGTGTTGCTAACGTCCTGATGTGCCCTGTACAAGCG